AAACCTGTCAGAAACAACTTGAATTTTGGGAGTTGTCTGTTTTTGGAGATAAGATCTTGTTTTATAGTACAGGCTGGCTTCTAACTGATGGTAATCTCCTGCCTCAGCCTTCCAAGAGGTAGGATTGCAGACATGTGCTACCATACCTGACAACAACCTGTTAAAACCTTACTCGCAATCAGGACAAGACTGCCCAATTCCACACTACACATGCCTATGCTTCCTGGGTCACCTCTGAACTCTTCATTAGCCCTGTGCTCAGTAGGCCAAGCCTTCCTGGGGTTAGTGAAGTCACTGTTGTGTGACCCCTGCCGGACTTCCCCACTCTCTCGCATGAATCACATATTACTCATCCCTTATTTGGCCTCCCCTGATGACCAGAAAAGAAAGGCTTGGCTGCCTTGCTAACCACCTCAGCACAAGTGATGACTGGAGCCACAGGTACAATGAGAAACGGGGAGAGAGAGTGAAAGAGGAAGAATTTGCTTTCTCCATCCAGGGCTGAGATGCAAAGTGCTGAGCAGGACAAAGGAACCTGCGGATGGCAGGACCTCACTCCTTCAGTGGACCTCAAGGCAAGGTCCTCCCCACCCCGTAAGAAACTTACTAGTGACGGCCCCAAAGTTCCTGTGTTTAGCACTAAGCCCACTGAGCCTTCCTGTCTTCCTGGCTCATCACCAGATAGATGTATTTGCCTGTTCCTGTTATGGCCCTGCCTGCTTTGGGAGAACCAAAAAGGAATAGTGTCTCCCTTTTTTTTTTTTTTTTTTTTGCGCAACTGGGGATTGAACTCAGGCCCTTGCGCTTGCCCAAGGAGTGTCTCCCTTTTGGTAGGTGCTCAATTATTTTTGTTGGCTAAGTCAACAAATAACCATTTCAAACTGCTTTCCTCACAAACAAAATAAGCACTTCTACTATGAAGGACAAAAACTATGTTAAGATTCTACCTTGGAGAAGCCCCAGCTGATCTCCAACTAACTCTAGCAGCACTTGCTCCCAACTGGCACTCCCAACTGTTTGTTTTTTTTTTTTAAATTCAGACCCTTGCACTTGCCAGGGAAGCGCTTATTCTATTGAGCCATCTCCCAGCCCCGACCATCTCCCCAGCCCCCCAACTGTCATCTTATGCTTGACCTAGGTCACAACTATCCACAGGAGTAACAGCTAATAACATGCTAACTGGAAATCTGCTGGAAAGTCTGCCTTGTAATTAAGGGGATGGGGAAGCAGTAATTAACGAGAGATTAATGGAAATTGAAGATTGTTCCAAAGTGCAGTGGAGGCCCTGGAATGCATGTGGTCATGCTTGGCTCCAGTGGAAATTCCCAACTATCAACGAAGAACCAGTCAAGTAAACATAACACAAGCAATGATGCCCAGGGGCTGGCAAAATACTATGGGGAGAGGGGTCAGTAGTGGAGGTGTTCCTGGCAGCAGAAACTATACTTGACCGCTCCTGAAGGCATTTCTAAGGTTCCACTCTGAACAAGAAACAAGTTATTTGGCCTTGTGTTGAACAAAATTACATGCTTCAGAATTCTCCAAATATCAGGGTTTATCACCATGGTAAGAGAGGAGGAGGAGAAAAAAAAAAAAAAATTACACATAGATGCAGCCTCCTGATTATGGTTAGTTCCTTCCCTACAGTGATAACCCACAAACTCACTGTACTGCACAACTTACAAGAGGTCTTGGGTGTTATCCACCCCCTTTTACTATTAAATGGAGCATATTCTTAAAGAGAGAGGCCACAACCTGAAAGCCACAAAACCAATTTTTTTTTTTTAAATATATAAAACGTCTCCCAGTACAAGTCACTTAAAGGCTGTCTGAGGCCTCCCAGGAGGGGCCAGTTTCCACTGCAGACTGGAATTGGCACTGAACACTAGAAACACAGGGTCAGCTTCCACCACTTATCTGTGGGTGTGAAGCCAGGGCATTTCGCAGGGCTCCAGTGGCCGGTCACCCACCCTGCTCCTTTACTCTCTCCACCACCAAGAGCTTCACCAACAGTCTCAGGCCAGAAGACACTGATCTCAGAGAAGCAGCTCCTGATTCCCGCGTAACTGTTCTGCCCCTACCTTCACCTCCAACTCCTGAGCCCTCTGCAACTCATAACTTACCTTCCTGGATACCACCTCCCTTCAATCTTTTTTTTTGTTTTGGTGGAACTGGGGATTGAAGTCAGGCCAGGGAAGCACTTATTCTACTGAGCCATCTCCCCCTCAATCTCTTTTCTGAGCACTATTGTCACCTTTCTCTAGCCCAAACCTGGACGTTCTCCTTCCAGACAATTCTTCCTCCACCCTCCCAGCTGTGAACCTTAGGTCCTCAGAGTCCACTGCTCACTGCCCACCTTGTGTGTTCCTGTCCCTCTCTCCTCCATGATCTCTGTCTGGTTTCACTCCTCTCAGGCTGCTCCTATCACCACTCTCGGGATTCCCATATCCAGGCAATGATCCCTGGGTCTCCTCTCCCTGCAACCCTCTCTCCCACAACCCTTCCCTCTTATGGTCACACCTTGCTTTGTCTCTAACAGCAGCCTCTTCAGACCCTCAATGTCCTTACCTCCACTCACTGCCTACTATATCCTATCTTCCTACTTCATTCCCTCCAGAAATTCAGCTCTGACAACCTGTGGCCCTACCACGCTTAGTACATCCTCACAAAGATGCAATTCCATGAGTAGCTAGTCTATAATCCCTCCCTTGTACATATTCCCTTCTGTTCCTCTTCACATACCCACCAGGCAGCACCTGTGCAGCTGAAGGAATTTCTAAGGTCCTACTCTGAACAAGTAGAACCTTCTGTGCCAGGAGAAACACCTTACTCTTGGCAGATGATCTTGCCTTGTAAGAAAAGCAAAGCATTGGGGGTGGGGGAACCCAAAATCAAAAGTGCCTCCTGTCTCAGATTATGCTATTCAAGCTTTCAAACAAACAGTGTTTCAGATAAGGGAGGGCAGTAGTTCACCCGCCTAGCCAGGAGTATTTCTGAAAGGTCAATAGATCCAGGGAGCCACAGCAGAACCAGGGAGGCCTCTGTGAACAGAGAAGGCTCCGCAGTTAGGCCTTTGTTAACTACTCTAGTGTGACCTTGAACAAAGCCTGTGGTGCCATCACCATACCAGCTTGTTTCTAAGATTAAAGGACACATTTGAGCTCAGAGTAAACTGAAACCAGATAGTCTTAGGCCGGGCAATTGGAGATATATCCTAACATAAATGACTTCACCAGGAAAAGCACAGAAGGGGCCAGGAATTGAGCTCAGTGGCACAACCCCGGCCTGGCAAGCGTGAGGTTCAATTCCTGGTACCCAAAAGAAAAAAGCAGAGAAGGGCTGCCAATTCTGGTTCAACACCTGCAGTCCTGGTTCCGCGTTCTCTGGAGCTAAGCCTCTCCCTATTGGCTATCGGCATCCCCAGCAAGTCCTCTTTTTCCCCTGCCTCAGGCACAGGGCAATTAACCATTGTCCTGAAGTTACCATAGAGGCTGCCCTGACTCCTTCCTGCTTTCTCTCTTTTTCATCCATATGCTGGCCTACAAAGCCCTCAGCCACCTGGCTCCCGCCCACCTTGCCCACCTTGCCCACCTTTCCCACCTTGCGTTTTCCTTTCCCTCACTTCCTGCTCCAACCCTGGGGGCTCTTGAAAACAGTCAAACCTGTTCTGGCCTTAAGGCCTTTGTATTCTGCTACCTATAACTGGATACTAGTCCTCCATGGTCTTTGTATAACTGCTGCCCCCTCATTCTTCACGTTAGGCTTCTCATGTCACCTCCAGAGGGGTCTCATGACCACTGGAGCTAAACAGACCCCAACATCTTCCATCACCCAGTTCCGGCACTTTGCCCAGTTCTATTACCTGTTAGTCATTTAATTATGTGGTAAGTGTTCTTTGTTTAAAAGTCCACTTAACTGCCACTCCCACTGGAATATAAGCTCTATGAGTGCAAGAACTTGGCTTGTCTGAGTCAACTGTTATCGCCAGCGCAGTCCCTGACACACAGCAGAGACTCATTAAGTTTCCTGAATCAATGAAGTTTCCTTTCAAGGGAGCTATTCTTATTCCTGCTGGAGTTTGTGGAGGCAGGTAAATTTGTAACAACACTTGAAGATGCCAACCCCAGCTGGGCAAAGTGGTGCACACCTGTAATCCTAGCACTCAGGCTAAGGTAGGAGGATCAATACAAGTTCCAAGACTGTCTGGCCTACATAGTGAGTTCAAGGTCAGTATGAACTACATAGCAAGACCCCATCTCAAGAAACAAAACAAAGGGACTAGGGAGATAGCTCAGTTGAATAAGCGCATGCCTGGCAAGCGCAAGGGCCTGAGTTCAATCCCGGCTCCGCAAAAAACACCCAAAATGAAGCCAATCCAGATGTTGGGTGTCAACACTTTCACACCTAGGCTGGCTCTTATCTTTGTATCCTAGGAAGATTTTTCCATCCCTTTTGTTTTCTTCCCTTTAAGCACAAACCCCCAACCCCTTATTGGGCTCCTACTCTACACCAAATAAATTAGAAAGGTGTCTCAGGGAGTTAGTGCCCAATATCCTACGAAGGGGAAAGGAGCTGCTTCTCCTGAGGCCCAATATGCCACCAAGCCACACCCATTAAGGCCTGGCCTCGCTGGGCTTTCCTTGGCCAAGTAACTTTCCACCGCCAGAAGACTGCGCAGCTGGCTCCTCTCCTCTTCCCTCCTCTCCCCTCTCCTGCCACAGCAAGGGCCAGCGCAGCTCGTTCTCGGTAAATACACCTCCTCTCCTCGCTCCCCTAAGGAGACATTCCTAACCCTTGCTCCTGTGCCCGCCGCCGTTCACTCCCAAGGACCCCAAATTTTGCTCGGGGCTCAATTCTCACAGGCCCTGACCATCACTGAATCGTCCCCAACAGACCCCAGCGCCTCTCCCCCCGCTCAGAACCACTTGACACCCACCCCCACTTCCTGCCCTGCCGGCCTCCGCCATCCAGTCCTCCTTGGACACCTGCAGGGCCCTCACCGTGGATGCGTCCATCTCCGTCGGTGGCCTCAGCTCCGGAGAACAGCAACGACGCCAGCAGAGCGAGGAGCGCCCGGCCGCGCCACGGTCCACACAGCTGCGCCATGACTGCCCCCACCAGGACGCCCCGGCTAGGAAGCCGGGAGCCGCCAACCGCTGGGGTCTCGCGATCAGGTGCAGGAAAACCCTGGCCGCGCAGGCGTGCTGAAGGCCGCCGAGCTCAGGTGCTGGCAGCCCGGGAGGGTCCGTGCGGTGCCCTCGCCCCCGGAAGGCCCTTCTCCGACCTTTGGGATGCGGACACTATTTTCTTCGCGTGAGGCTTAAGGCCGCTCCTCACGTACCCCTCTACCCCAGACGGCACCGAAATTCGCCCCGGGCTCAAAGGCCCACCACACCTCCCAAACCTCAGGAGGCGCCTGAGCCAATGGCGGACGCTCGGAAGCAGCTAGAAGGTGGCAATAGAGTAGGGGGCGGGGCGCACCTGGAGGGGCGGGGTGTTTAGGACGCAGGCGCAGCGGGCAGGCACCTGACCGCCTCTTCCCCGCCCTCGGAGCACCTGGGCCCCCCCGCGGGAAAGGGGCGGGGCTTGGGTTGGCTCTGTCCCAGTAGAATCCCGCCGGGTGGAGGCTCAGGCGGGTTGAGAAGTGAAGTTCCTGGCACCTTGTAGGGGACTTTGGTGACGGTGTCCGAGTGCCTTCTCACACTTGCCTGGGCCTCAGGGAAGCTCTCCTTCTTGGAAACTTGTGGCTTTCTGCCCGCTAGCCTTCGTTTGAAGGCAAGTGATTTATTCCTGCATTCAGCGTTCCGTGAGCCCCTGCTCTGTAACGCGGCAGTCACAACGGACTGATTGCTTGTCACCAGACAGGTGAGGCCAGGAGCAGTTCTATAAAGTGATTAGAGGTACTAGGAGGAAAGCTTAAGGTTGAGTAATCAGGAGCTGGAGAACCAGGGCATGGTGGGAGTCCAGACAGGTTCTGATCGAACCTGAGAGGGCCACCGGAGGGCTGCCTGGAAGAGGGGATGGACTCAGGGCTCCCAGCACCGGCATGAAGACAAATACTGCCCCAGACAGCCGCAGGGAGGCGGGAGGCGGGAGGCGGGAGGCGGGAGGCGGGAGGCGGGAGCGGGAGGCGGGAGCGGGAGGCGTGGTGTGGAAGCTCAGGCTGAGTGCTCGCGGCCAGATGGAAGCTCCAGGGAGGCTCCGCTTGGGGGTCAGGGAGAGCTTCCAGCAGGAGCCGGTGTATGAGCTGTCCCTAGGGAAGGGGGCAGGAAAAGGATGATTAGTAGTCAAGAGGGTGATTAAGTAAATTCCTCATTATTGAAAACAATGGGATGGGCTGGAGAGATGGCTCAGTGGTCTAAAGCACCTACTTAGAACAAGCTAAGCTAAGCAAAACACAGGGACCGCGGTTCAATCCCCAGCACCACATGCCAGCC